TCTCAGTCTTGTCTTGGTCTCGATTTTTTGTGGTCTCGGTCTTGTCTTGGTCTCGACTCTATTTGGTCTCAGTCTTGTCTTGGTCTCGACCCTATTTGGTCTCGGTCTTGTCTTGGTCTCGGTTTAGGCGGTCTTGACTACAACACTAGTTTTTACTAGTAAATATTGAATTCAGAATACGTGAGGCCAAAATACAATGGAAGTCAATGGGAATATATGGCTAGTAAAAATCTAATTATAGAGCTCTATCTTATCTTGAATTCATATTCAAACATTGCATATAGCAAGAATGTTATTTTTACTAGTAAGAATAAAGTTACGGAGATCGTAAGCCTCATGCTAATAAAAGAAAATTTAGTTTGCCATATTGGCACCTGTTTTTTCACACTGCAAGCACTGATAGGGTGAATTCAGGTAATGTGGGACAGTTAAGCTATGACAAGTTTATTTCCCGGCTAAAGTAGATCCAATTAGAATAGCTGTTATCGGGAGCTGGTATAGAAAGCACATGATCCAAAAAACAATTTTATTGGTCTGAGGTCACAGTTGAGGGTGAAGTAAGCATTTTTGGGGAACGTCCATCAGAAATCACAGTCTAAGGTGAATGACGCGCTTTTGATTGTATTGATATTAAAGTTATAAATCTGTTATAAAAAATTCATTGCACCTAATTTTTATGTAATTGTGTCTATGATATACTACTGCAGTAAATTAAATACTTTAAATTGACAAAGTTCTATTTCATTTTTAAAACAGAGTTATTTTTCAGCTGTCCCACTTTACCAAACTAATTAGGGAAAGTGGGACAGTATGTTTCAGGTAATGTGGGACTATTGTATAGGCTCTCCCAAGAAGAGAGTAAGTACATATTTGACAGGATGGAGTCCTAACTACTAATTATATTCAGTAACTATACATAATATATAAATAATTATTATTTATTTATGAAATAGAAAAAATTGCCAACCTGAATTTGTTAAATTGTTTTAGTGTATGATGGCACCAAGGCAGAGAGGCAGAAAAGAAGGTTAGAGAGGTGAAGAGGCAGGAGGACTAAATGGTTACAAGCAACTGCAGTTTTTACTGTTAGTATAAGCTTTATCTGTATTGGTTTAGGTATTTTCTACAAAACAAAATCCAAAATAAAAATTAAATCTAATGGATTTTGACTTTTTTCAATGACTATTTTTGATAAAAATTAATCACCAATTAATGTTCAACTGTTCCTTGAGGTGTTTTGTCTATTAAACTTGCAAAACCCTTTGCAAATTATTCAGTATTGATGTATTGCATCTATATTGAAGTATTAAATAGTGTGAGTGTGTGCACCCTTCCGATGTGTTGGAGACTGCCCAGGGCTGGTTCCTGCCTGCGCCCATTGTTCCTGGGATAGGCTCCGGTCCCCCCTGTGACCCCAGTTGGGATTAAGTGGTTCCAGACAATGGATGGATGGATGGATGGTTGTATTATTTAAATGCCTGTCCCACATTACCAAACCGCCTGTCCCACATTACCTGAAATGTGTCCCACTTTACCTTACAGGTGCAGGGAGTGTATAGGCCTGTATCATGGCTCCCATAAGCAATAAATTTATTTTTTTTCTTTTGATGTGATAAGTAGACATCTTAAGGATTGCAGAAAGGTATCATATGTGGGTTAAGTAAATTAGGTTAATATTTCAATGGGCACTAGAAGTCAAAATGGCAAAAAATGTCCCACTTTACCTGAATTCAGCCGATCTTAGAACTCGCCGATCTCCGACCATCTTCGGTTAGACGGTGATATTTATTTATTATTGCCGTCTGGCGTCATGGTGACGCAAGGTCTCAAAGTTCCGTCCCACAGCGGCCTTGTCTGTATGTTGTTCGTAGTGGTGAAAATCTTGTGTCCTTGGGGCTAAATATGACAGGAGACCGCAAGGATTCGCCACTCTGCGTCGCGGTGATAATTGAAAGCATGTTGGAAGTTTGGGAAATGGGAAAATTTAGCTTTACAGACATTCCAGCGCTACGTCTGGAGATAGAAAGGTAAGTCGGTAAAATCACGCGCAGATTCACCCGCGCCGCAAAACATGGCATTTTGCCTTTTGGGGTTTGTTTCGTTTTTTGTCTCGTTTCGTTGTTTTGTGCCGTTCTCTATAATATGGTCAACAGCGGATCCATGACATCTGAACAAAAATGAATTAAGTACAAACAAAATATTATTTACGGGAAATTGCAACCTCCTACCTTGCGTGAGTTGAACACAGGGGGGCAGCTTTGCATAGAAAACCTGGCCAAAGAGTGAGTGTCAGAATCTTTTTGATTTTTCTGTTTAGGAAACTTGGGTAAAAAGATATTTTAAAATATTGTGCTGACGATCGGCTAGCATCATCTTCCATGGAGGTACTCTGCTTCACTTTTTATGCCTCTCGAAACAAGCTGCAGTCTCGACTCTGTGTTTGATAAACTGTCAAGCAAAACAAAACGGATTGATGTATAAAATTGGACCGCACTGTATATCAAATAAAATTAATCGAAATGCCATCTTCCCTCCACAGTTTATCGTTCTATTATCAA